AGATGTATGCCAGGCGCGTCGCAGCGTAACAGTGTTTCGTGAGATATCGCGAAGCCTGTTACGCGAGACGTGGTCTGGCGTACATCTACCTAGTAATAAATAACGGTGCGTTCCAGTAATGGAATATCTATCGGAATTTTTAGGAGTGTCTAGTGTAACTCCTGCTAGTGGCTCAGACAAACGCCTGAGTCTCGAGACCAGATCGATAATATAAGCCCACACCCACTGTCTTTTTCCTACAGGGCAGAAAGATTGGCTAAAAACTGTACGCTGTAACCTCTGACCTGATTCACTCAAGAGTGAGGCTCCCAGGCAGCGGCACTTTTTGAATGGCTTCTGCCTGGCGATAAGAAAGTGCAGACTCGCTGTTTCCAGCTGATATCGCCCAGTGGGAGCTAGCGCGCTGTCTTTGCCCCTCAGTTCGGCGACGAGCTCACCACGTTGCACAGCCCCCCAATCTGCGATTCAGGTATTGATTTATTTTATTTTTGTATGGGAGAGGTATACTTCCTCCCACATTCTTATATTTTGTGGCCTTCTCCGGCCCTTCTTGTAAGCCTTTATGTGTAATGTCGTCATTTCCGGCTTATTTTTGTCAAATAAAGACCTAAATCGCCCTCCATGGTCAGTGGCACTAACACCGGTGTCGGGCCGTGACGAACGGACCGTGTTTTCGGAACTTTTCTCGAAAAATCTGTTGTTACTTAGTTCTAGAGACCGCTGACAACTGACGATGTAGTTAACGTGATGTTTTTGTTCTGTGAATTAATTTTCTCTTGTATGTATTAAGGGGCTCTCTATACGATAGGCAATACGACTTTCAGATGCGCACAGAGTTAGTTATTGCTTTTGACGTTTCAGTAGTCACCCATAAGTAGCAAGCAGGCCCGCCCTTTCGCCAAACGAAGTTGCCAGCTCCGCTTCGCTCCGCCGGCAACTCCGTTCGGCAGGGGCCGGGCCTGCTGGGCCTGCCGAAGGTGATGGTCGGGCCTGCGGCCCGACCATTTCTGTCTCGCGGTTTGCTGAAGAACTAGATCGGCAGATGTAGCGGGCCTACGGTCCGCTTAAACCCGTCGTCTTTGAGTTTGCCCAAAAGACTCAAGAAAGGGATGTAGCGGTGAAGCACCGCGACAACAGCCCACCCTTCTGCTTAGAAAATGTTTTTTGGGGGTGGGGAGAGAGTTTTCTTTCTATTTTGCGGTTTTTAGGCCTTTTTCTACAACTTATTGTTCACTATGGCAATTTTTAGCTTATTTTCGACAAAAAAAAAGACCCTACCGCCTAAACGGTTAGAGATAGAGCGAAACGGACGAATTTTTCGCCCCAAGGACTCTACCTTCACGAGTTACGAGTTACCCCTTGGAAGAACATTATAAAAGTACTTTTTGGGAGAATTTCTGAACCTTGGCTAACCCTATTCACACCCTTAGGGGTGGTTGCCAGGATTTGCCGTAGGCGTTTCGTTCTCTAGGAGTGGTTTCTAGTCTCTAGCACATCTCCTAGTGGAACAGACAGACAGATACACAGACGGACACACACGAGGTCGTTTGCATAAGCCCGCTGGATAGCTTTTTCAAAGCAGAAGGGCGGGCTAAAAAGTGACATCTTCATCGGTTCCCATAACATGGAAGGGTACTTGAGAATTAAGTTATAGACCCATCGGCAGTTTCAGATTCGAGGGCGCTTTCTGCTCTAATCGGTCTTCCAATCACGCACTTTCTTACCTCAAAAAACTCAAAATTAAACTTTTGGTCATAAAATGCAAGTTTTGACGGAATGTTAAACAATTTTTAACTACTATCGTTAATACTTAAACATCTCATCACCAATCAGTGTACTACGCTCATCACAAATGTGACTGCCCCTCTGTCATATTTCAATAGGGTATTCCGCTGCAAGCGAACCGGAATCTAAACAAGGTAGATGTACGCCAGACCACGTCTCGCGTAACAGGCTTCGCGATACCTCACGAAACACTGTTACGCTGCGACGCGCCTGGCATACATCTACCTTGGCCTGCGGCGCTGACACCCGAGTCGGGTAGTGGGAAAATGTACACAAAGGTACGCACCTCGACTAAGCATGCATGCTTGCACATTTTTTCGCTTATTTTCGTCAAAAATACCCTCTAGCGCCTCAACGGTTTGAGCTAGAGCAAAACGGACGAAATTTTCGCCCGTAGGGCTTTACTTTGATGGGTTACCCCTTAGAAAACCATAAAAATATTTTTAAACAAGCTGGGCCCGCTCTTCCGCCAAACCAAGTTGCCAGCTCCGCTTCGCTCCACCGGCAACTCGGTTCGGCAGGGAGCGGG